CTCAGTTGCCCAGCGACCCCGAGTCTCAGCTGCCTAGCAACCCAGTCGGCGGAGTCTGGTCCCAGCCAGCATCTAGCCTGTTCCTGAGTCAGGGGTCTTGGCCCATGTCAAGCCGGTTTCTGCATCAGGGGTCCGAGCCAACACCTGGGACAGCTGGGACACCCAACGCAGAAACAGGAACAGGAACTCTTGTTGGTTTGGCGCTATATAGATAAAACTGACTTGACTCAAAGCGAAATATAAAAATCTTTGATAACCACCTTACGTTGCCTCAGTGTCCCTAATGACAATGTGAATACAAACACAAAAAAGCACATAGTTCTATGGGGAGCTCCCCAGTGGGCAGTTTCTTCTTAGGAAGTCAGTACTGTTTGGTCTGAAAACACATATTAACACAAATGGGCAAACAACACACTTCATTGTTCTTATTGTTTTATCACCAACCATATCTTATATGAATTATACTCATTTATATACTAATTTTCAATGGCTAAGACGTTTTGGAGGAAACCACAGACTGTAAAAAATAATGGATGCAGCTACCACGACATCACCCATTGGTTTTCAGACTCCTGTTTTGAAGCCTCGAGTTTGGCATTTCAGCTGTCACCATCTTGGCTTTTTGAGTGACCATGTTGGGGCGAGAGGTTGGTGCAGTGGAGGAGCGCAGGGTGGATCTGACTGAAAAGCCATGGACGCTGTCAGAAGACAGCCTGTCACTCAAAGCAGCCCGCCCTTAACTATACTGTGAGTTATATAAAACTTCTTCTGTCGTGCTGTTCTCATGAAGGGGGAAACTAGCTATTAAGACCAAAACTAAGATGTGTTTATCTCTGCTGTAAGGTCAAGCGTTTTAACATGGGGGTCTATGGGGACTGAGTCGCCTCCAGAGCTGGCCTCAGCTGGCCATTAGACGAACTGCAGCTTTTTAAAACCTACGTATTGGCTTCATTATTCAGCTCGGGAGGTTGCTGCTTGGAGGAAATGTAACTGCTGCATGGCCACCAATTTTAAGCACCACGTAAAAAGATGTAGTGAGGAGCTCAGGATGTTTGAGTGGACTCAATTGAGGCACACAATTCTGACATCAGAGACAGAAGTTTGCTTCCTGTCTGCTTAAGTCAGTGTTACTGTTTTGTAATTAAGTGAATTTGGGGCAATTCATTACCTCACTTCAACTGCACTGGATCTCTAGCGTTGGCAGCTGCATGGCTCTAGTGATGGCAGTGTTGGTTGGTTGGCCTATTTCTTGGCAGCAGATTAAAATATCACAACTACTGCAGGTATGCATTTGGGGCTTTTAGTGAAATATCCAGACAACTAATGGATAGACTGCCTTGACATTTGATACAGATATTCATGGTACCCAAAACATAACCCCCATTGAGATGGTTATCTCCTCACTTTTCCTCTACTTTGAGTTGCATAAAAATGTTAATCATGTTGTAGTTGTCAGTAGCAGATACTGTCAGGAAAAGTAATGAGAAACATTGACATTGACCTTCTTGCAGTCCTGCAGACACATTTAATATGATCATTTTTAAAAAAAATATATTTTTCTTTCTCACAATTTGGAAAGTCCAGTTCCCTGTGCACTACTACTGTTCTTGTTTACTGCTTGAAAAGAAAAAAAAACAGTAATCTAAGCAGCATTATATTTCCAAACAAAATGCGTTAGGTGATTTTAATTAGCTGTATGTAACTTTGATTTGTAGAAGAAAGAGTTGTACACACACACACACACACACACACACACGCACACACAATATAAAATCTGCTGCTCAGGAGATAGAGGAGCATCCTTGATGAAGGTATTCAGACAATTCAATAGACAGACAGCAAAGAAGATGCTAACCTCCGTGTAATGAATGACCCTGACATTTACATCAGCTGCTGAATGATGTGCATTTATCAGGCAGATACATACATACACACACTTAGCATCGATTTCTGTCGCAAAGTTGAAGACCTGTGGAAGTATTCATATCATAAATGCAGCACCTTGCTTCGCAGCTGCTCCGCTCAGTATGTCTTCTGCACACCCCGGCTAGTTAGAGGGCTCATCTGATGCCTGCTGCTGCAAGCAGATCGATGCCTTTTCACATAGGACGTAGGGAATCAGGGAGAAGAAAAGGGATTGGGGGGTTGTTACTAGTGCGAGTAACATCTCCCTCCTGAGAGCGGAGGTCCAGATCAATGCCACAACATAAACAAGAAAGGAGGAGGTGTGAGTGGACAGAGATGGAGGAGAAGAAAGAGAGGAGAAAAGATGGATTGCAGCATCCAGCACAGACTGAACAAAAGTAAAGAGGAGAGTGGTTGAAATGGGCAAAGGTAAGAAGAAATTGAGATGGTGTTAACAGCAAAGAGGTAAAGACAGGACTAAAGAGTAATGGAAAGGGAGCAGAAAAGTGGAGAAAAATGGACAAACAAGAGTGTAAGAGATTTCACAGTGAGAGCCTAAAAGCTCTAAAGGACAGAGAGGGCTGATTGGTGGAAGAGGACAGCTCTCTTCAAGGCTCTCTGACTTCTATCATGGTCTCCATCAATGGGCAGGCTTTTTGCTTCTGTCACAAATTGTTTTTTATTTCCTCAGTTTCCTTTAAGGAATTGAGTCATCTTTCTTTCTTATGCTCAGTGTGATCTAACACTGCTGCTGTTAAAATGGTGATAACAGTAATTATTCTCCTTTTGCTTTCCATTAAGAGCTTTTCTGACGCATTACTGAGTCACTGCAGTATTAAACAGTTTTATCATTGCAGAGCGGTAGAATATAGGTGTGCAAAGGGATCGGTCCTGGCTTGGACGATAGAAGCTTCTTTGGTTGAATCAGTAATAATTTCATGATGAATCACATGGTAAAAACACGTGGGTGACAAATCAGAAGAAAAAATGACAGCAGCCATAATCCTTAAGGTTGATTTGATCATACCTGTGGTAACTGGGGGTAAGAATAACTTAATAATGAAGAGTTTTGTACGAAAAGACCTCATCTGCCGTAATGATGATGATGTTGGAGCGCTCTGTCTATCATGTTGCTCGAAAATCTCTAATAGGTTTTCAACTGAGTTGAGATCTGGGGGCATTTTCACATAGTTTTTGAACATAGACATAGCTGATTGACTTATGCCTACCATGCACTAGAAGACACTGAAAGACTTTTTAGAGACTAAAGTCTGACACCCTCTCACATCTAAAGACAATGTGAGTTTAGTCACACCCTGGATTTTGCAAAGACTGGGGATCTTGCAGGGTTACTTTTTGCAGGGCTACAACCAGATTTCTTTTGAGATGATCTCCCATCCTGCTTCAAGTGGAAAATATGAAGCCAAACTCCCTTTAAGAAATACGACATATTAACAATTCCTTATGTGTCTGCAAAAACACAGAGCTCTCAGCATTGTTGTCAATTCGGCATCAATGCAATCTATAAAGATAAATTGTATTTGTGCACAAACTTTATATTTTGGATTTTGTTGCTTCAACTTGCTCACAGCCTCCGCTGGATTGCTGCATTATTTTAGTGGGAGGAGACTGTGGGAACAAGAGGCAAACCATTTAAAAAAAAAAAAATCAACATTTCTTACTATAAGTGATCACTGGTTGAAGGAAATTAACACTGACATCACAAGCTATTAAAGTGCCCAAGGAGCACCTCTCCTGCAGATGCCAAGTTGTCAGCTGCCTGGAAGAAAAAGAAGCACCACCTGTCTTGTGACCACGATGCGATGATGACAGGGACAAAACCCAGAACAAGAGGCAGCTTCCAGTAACAAACGCTGACCACATCTGGCTGCATTTTATACCAAAATCTAAATAAAGACAAGTTACATGATGAGGTGCTACTGTGCCTCCTGAAAACACTGAGATCTCTGCTTTTAAAAACTTAAAGGAAAGTTGCACATACTGTAGGTGATTCTATGTTAATTTCTCACGTGTAATGTCAATCTTTGATGTCATAAGGAAGAGAGGAAGAGATGGAGAGACAGTGGGAGACTGGGTAATTTCATTAGCCTGGTTCCAGACCATAGACCCCGCCCACTCAACTGAGTAGGCTTGCATTACTGGTCTGGCATACTTCAATGAATTTGCGATTTATCTCGTCCAAACGATGGACGGACCAGTGAACACCGGGGGTCTAGTGATTAGCCAATCAGCGCCACGCTGATGTCAAGCTGTACGCCGGTGGGTAACTGGTGAGGATAGCAACAATGGCGACCGCTACAGATCCTACAGACCACATTAACGATGCTATCGAGGTATTTTGCCACTACTCGCGTTAATGGAGGACCAAATTAAGGAAGCTGCTAAACTGGATTTAACGGCGATGCAGCTGGGCGTGCAGGACGACAGAGACATTTTAAACGGGCAATGCGCGCTTGTTTTCAGCACCCCCGAGGCATGGATACTAATGACGTCAGATTCTGGGTGAGTCGTTGATCTCTACTGATTGGTTAGGGAAAAATCAAATTCCCTCCCCCTTGTAAATCGCCTTCAATGGAGGCCATGTCAGACTGAAGGTTCTGGGAGCTTCAGTCTGACACTCAGGCTATAATTTCATCTAACTGAGCAGGTTTCTGAAATGGTACTTTTCACTACTCAAGTTACCCCCATAAAATTACATAAAATTTTCAGTACTTTACCCACCGCCAGACAAAATCCCTTTGATATCCACCCTGAATCCACCCTTCTGCTGGGATACAGATAATTGTGATTTTTTCTGGATCAATGATATCCCAATCCTACTAAAAGGTTTTGAACAATACACGCTGAAGGTCTGATGCAGAACAAAACCAAATCTCGATTGATCTAATCTGATTACAGAATCCTTTTTTCTTTTTGAGCAACCCATTTTCAAGATTTGATCCAATTCGATCAGATACCAGCTACTCAAGTATGGTTTTAATCAAAATACAGCTTGTTAAACTTGTTCCACTGACAGAATTATGTTTGAGGGAATTAAACAAGCAAAAGAACACAGAAAAGACAAACAGCCTTACTCTCATCTGGGTTGGGTGAAGCCAGGATGGCACTGTGCTTCCTCTTCACCTCCTCAACTTTCTCTGCCAGAGAGTCGATAAAACCCCTGATCTCCTCCACCTGTCAAGACAGAGAGACAGCAGGAGAGAGACCAAAAGACACTTTAGATCTCCTCAGTGCCGAGACAGGAAGTACCAGTGATTAGCCTGAGTGATGTTGATAGATACCAAACGGAAGATGTCATTATCGTATTAGAAGCAGAGTGAAAGCAGAGTGAAGCAGGCTTAAGTGAAAGAACATACACATATAAAAAGGTTTTCATGTTTTTGTGGGCTCAATCATTTGTTCTCTGTAACTTTTTCAAGCACTGGAGCAGTCTCTGATGTATATGTGTGATGTCTGCAGACAAGACATGGTTGTATAAATCTATCAAATTATCATACACAAACATCCTAATTAATACAAATAGAGCCACATCCACGTCATTCAGATGAATGCTTTTTGAAATCGTTTTAGTCACCAACAACTGGCAGGAAAGGTGAATCACTATGTGCCGGAAAATTACTCTGATTTTCTTCTTGTGATTCTCAACTGCTCAGTAAGCCACCACTCACCTGAGTCTTTACAACGTGTTAAGTAGCTCTGAATATTAAAGTGTGAATGCGTGAATCAGGGCTTGGATGAGACGTTGCAGTGGAAAAAAAACAACTACAGAGCTGCACAAAAAGATGATGTGGCTACATGGCAAAAAACATTTGGATAACTGAACATTACATGCATGTTTGATTGTTGAGTATCTAATTACAAAACTGTGGGCGTTAATCTGCTGCAATAACAGCCTCCGTGCTTCCTGGAAGGCTTTCCATAAGATTTTGGAGCCAGGCTGCAGGGAGTTGCTCCCACTCAGCCACAAGAGCATTTACCGAGGTCGGCCAGTGATGTTGGGTGATAAAGTCAAGCTCATAGTCTGCGTTCATCCCAAAGGTGTTGGATGGGGTTGAGGTCAAGCCAGTCATGAAAGAGCCTTCCCCAAAATGTTGTCACAACGAATAAACTACCCTCCAAAATATGCTTGTATGCTTTAGTATCAAAAGGTAACAGAATTGGACACTGACTAGTAGGGTTGGGTCGGTATGAGGAAAAAAAGAAACGGTCCGGTTTTTGTGAGAAACCGCATCAAGTCGGTAATACTGGATTTTCGCCACTTGGTGGCGCAATTGACTCATTTAAAATAAAAAGAGTGACAGTAACACGTTGTTTCTTTTATTCCTTACAAATAAATTTTGCAGCTTACTGAATCAGTGCAAACAAGGGTTGCCTCCTTCGTCTGGCTCAAAGCCAAAGTGTTGCCATAGTGGCGCATTCTTTGATTTCTTTGAGACTAAATTGTCCGCCATTATTGACTCCCCAGGCTACAGTAGAGGCCCCGGCGCATGCGCACTCGCACCCCCTAGCTCAGTCCCCGCCCCACCCCCCACCCCCCCTCTCTCTCCTGCTCGCTATGCGCTTGGCGAAGAGGCAGACACAGGTGCTCACAGACTCAGGCGTACTATAAACAGAGTCGAGCGCAATTCCGCGTTGTAGTTTCCTGTAAAATGTCCCTGAAAAATCCCCGTGATGTGAAAAGCAGTCTTGTGTGACACTGGTGAGTGGAGCGGAGTCCGCGCGGTCGTGCTTTAGACGCACAGGGCTTGCGGACGTCTGCTTTTACCGGGCGGACCTCCGCAGAGTCCGCTCCGCCAACGTTCCGCCCAAGTATGCGGTCCGGTTGGTCTCAAAAAAAAAACCCCGGTCCAAGACGGAGTACCGAACCAAATTGGTATTACCAAGAACCAACCCAACCCTACTGACTAGTAGGTTCAGATTGCTGTTATCAGCACATCCCGCCCTTGGACTTATTTCACCTGTCTGCAGCTGTAACCCCATAATTCATTTATCGTTTATAAATATATAACCATGCACATACTGTCATTATCCTGGGTTTTTGTTTATGTTCTGTTATCTTGTGGACTTTGTTTTGGGGTTTTCTGTTTGAATTCTTCCTTGTTTCATGTTGATCATTTATGTTTAATCTGTTTCCCATTTTATTTTTGTAGATTCTCTCCTCATGTGTCATGTCTGATTTTACTTGCCTGATTTTACTTTCTATCACACCTGTCTTCATCAGTCTCATTTGTCCTTCCCTGTTCCCAGAGTCTTCCCTGCACACCTGTTCTGTATTAGTCTTGTTTGCTTCACCCTAGTGTTCTCCACCACACCCGTGTTGTCAGCCAATCCCCATTTACCACCCTTCCCTCCTGTCCACCTACACCAGCTGTGTCTGGTTCTAATGAGGAGGTTTTCTGTGTATATATATATACTGTGTGTTTCCCTTTGCCCCCTGTCAGTTCGTCTGTGTTTGTGGTGTCGTTCCCTGCTCTACTGTCAGGAATCACTTCTGGAAAGGACCCAAATGCAGAGCAGTAGGCAACAAAAGACAAGCTTTGGTGAAGCTGGTTAAAAACATCCAAAAACAAGCAGGTGACTGTCCAAAAGAAAGAAGAATCAAAATTGAAGTGAAAACCAACTGTGATAACACAATGAAGTCAGGGAAGAAATCCAAAATGGAACACAAGAGACAAGGCAAGAAACAGAGCAGGGAACGACTGTAGTTATTGCACAAATCCCAACAATTATTACCACGTAGAAATAAAATATAGTCAGATTGTTGCTGTGAGAGTGCACTACTACTACAACTACAACTGCTCATTTTGTATATTGACTGAGAGTGAGAATGGCCTGGGAAAAAAACTATTCACGAGTCTGGTGGTCCGAGTTTTTAATGACCTGTAGCACCTGGCTCAGGTCAGGGGGTTGAGCGGGTGTTGGCCAGGGTGAGAGCAGTTTTTAACAGTGTTTTGAGCTCTGGAGAGGTAGCATGTGTTTGCAAAGTCTTGGAGTGAGGGAATAGGGCAGCCAGTACTTTTTTGGGCTGAGTTAATGACCCTCTGTAAAGCTTTTTTGTCCACTGCTGTGCAGCCAGCATACCAAACTGTGAGGCAGTATGTTTAAACACTCCAATGTGGAGCAGTAGAAGGTCACCAGTAGCTACCAAAGAGAGAGCAAAGAGCCACAGTACTTACGCGCACCACCATTATCTTTATTGTTATGCAGCTACATAGGAAGTCAGGTGATGTGACTTTATTATAAAGAGCAAGAAAGTCTACATAGTGAGCTGACTGGAATGGTGGATGGGTTAAACCAGTGGGTCCATTCTAAATGGACCGCAAGTGACTCGCCAACATGTCAAGTTTGTAAAAAACACACTTTATTTTGAAGTATAATGAATTTCTGGCGCAGAGCTTTTATTTGAAGTGCTGTTCCCTGCTGTAGAGTAAGTGACTAACGGAAAGCTATATGACAGAGATAGCAAACTACCTCAAAGACATGGCCAGATGCAAGTATGACGCTGAATACACTGAACTGTGTGGACCTTGAGGAAATGACTTAGGAGAAATCTGAAACCCCGTGGCTGGACCAGTTGGCAATAACTGGGTTAAACAAACACAGGATTTTCATCCGGGAGACCAGGGTTCATGTCCTGTTGTGTTAATTTAACTGTGATGTCTGACATATATGACTTTTGTCACATGACATATGTCACAGGACATACTTTAATGTCCTTTTAAGCCAAACCATGATGCTTTTCCTAACCTAACCACATTTATTGGTGCCTAAACCTGACAAAAATTAAACTGAAACCACAAAATGCCAATGACAACTGGCATTTAACACACTGATAACAGCATTCTGAACCCATCTGTCGGCAATAAAGTTAATAAACATATTTCTCAAAATGTTAAACTATTCCTGTGGGCACATCAATAATGTCAGGTCTCAGGACACCTTGACATTAGCTGTATCTCTTGCTCACAATGAACTTGGAAAACATGGCATCAAATACTATGCTGCAAACAAGGGAATGAGCTCCAAAAAAGTTATATTCTCTTGTTCTATTCAAACGTTTTAAAAGCTTGTACTTGTGTACTTGTAATCACATTTGTAATTGCTTTTCTGCTTGCTTTTATGTATAATGTGCGTCTGTCTGTGTTTAAACTGTATATTATTTTTTTCCATAGTTCTCTCTTGAAGAAAAAAAAAAAAAAAAAGATTCCTATCTCAAAGGGGCAACTTGTTTAAAAATAAAGGATTCAAAAAGATGCATTAAAGAAAACTGACCCTTGAGGTGCATCACATGCATTAACTGTACAGCACACCATCATCTGCTACCAAGATACAGGTTTGACATCCCTCGGCATCAGCTGTGTTGCCTCTGGCTCGGGTAACAGCTGGACAAGCAGCAGGTCACATCTGTCAGTGACTTCATCGATATCTACTTTCATCTCAGTCTGTCACCTTCCCCCGATCACTTTCTTACCCTCTACACCTGCTACACCTTCTCCCTTCATCCTTCTTTGCTGTGCATATCAGTGGTTTGACTTTTCCATTTGCAACCCCCACTTTCCTCTGTCACTCCTCACAGCTCTGCGCTCCCTCCATCCATACATTCTTGAGCTTTCCTCCCCTCAGCCTGGGTCATTATTCTCCCATTATCTCTTTAATTAGCTACTGATTATATCCACTTTTTTTAATAACAACATAATTGGCTCCGGAGACCACTGGGGAATCCAGAAGGCACACTGAGGTGAGTACAGAGTTAAATAAATCTAAGACAGACAGGTGGGGAGAGATGACAAAGTTAAAAAGTAAAAGTGAGACAAAAACACAGAGAGAAGAAAGCAGCAGAGACGGTAAGTGAGCAGAAGATGAAACCACTTTGAGCTGTCTTGGTTTAGAGACCATGTGTTAGTGAGTCACGGTGCGTCTCTCAGGTCTCATAAGACATCAGGCAAATTTTATTGGTGTGGGAGAAAAACCAATTTCAGACATGCAAAAACAAATAAACAGACACACCGACACTTGCCGATGTTAGAACTTCTTCTGAATCCTTGTATCCACCAAGACATTTGTCTCTATCTTGTACAAATTTCCTGTTAATCAGCCAAATCCTGCAGATGGTGATGCATTCACCAGCAAGAAAAAATTCTGCTTTCCTATTTTGTCATCTTATTTTAATCTTT